GCGCGGGACCGGGGATTTGCACCCTTTGAAACGCGGCGTTTGACAGAATTCCCCGGTCGAGGACTCGATAATACCCGACCGGGTATTTTCGGGACCCGACCGGTTATTTTTCCTATATAAAGGAAACCCCCGGTCATTTCTCTCTCTACCTCTCATTTTTTCCAAAATCACTTCTCTCTCCTCCCCCATTTCCTCTCCCCTCTCTCCTCCTTGGCCGCCGCCGGCAGCCATCACAAGCCGCCGGCCGCCGCCCTCCGCCGCCGCCGCGCCGCCGCCGCCGCCGATCGCCGCCGCCGCCGGACACTTTCCGACGACTTTTCGGCGAATTTCCGGCCCTTTTCCGGCGAGTTTCCGGGGCGTTTTTTCTTTCGCTCTCCTCGCGCCCCTCACCCGTCTTTCGAGTCCTAGCTACGGTCCTCCTTGTGTTTCCAGGTGTGTTTCCTGTTCATTGCTAGTTTATGGAAAATCGGACTGTAGATTCTAGGACCGAGAACTGTGGTTGCATGCCTAATTTAGACTAGGGTGAGGGCGGACTCGAGCGTGCATGGCTGTGTATGTGATAGATGAACTGTCTGTGTGATGATTGTGGTTTATTCTATGATTCTGCCTTGAATTCCAGTTGAGTGGCTTACAATTCACCTGGCTGTGCTTAATTTGTTAGCCTAAGTGAGCTCGAGTGTGGGGGAAGTACTGACCCCATGCCGTTAGTCTTGACCATCTATTCTCTTGGCTCCACCTATGGTGTTTTGATTTTGCAGGGCCATGTCGCAGGACCATCCCTTCGTGCAGGATCTGCGCCTGCACGCGGAGTATGCGGACCAGTTCCGCAAGGTGATACGAGGGAAGCTGGAGAAGCACCACCACCTCGAGTGGGCAGTGTTCGAGCAGCTCCACTGCTTGCAGGAGCTTAGCACCGCCATCAGTCACCCTGATTGGCGGACCCTGCTTGCCATTGACGAGCCCACCTTCACGGAGTTGGTGTGGGAGTTCTACACCACCTATCGCTACGACCGCTCGATGGCCCGGGACGAGTATGCAGTAACGTTCCGGTTGGGTGGCGATCACAGGGAGCTGACCATCGACGGGTTGGCCCACGCTCTGGGTATCGAGTACCACCCCTTCGATGCCCATGAGATCGAGGTTGCCCACCCGACCGACTGGAACCAGACTGTTTTCTACCGCAGGATAGCCCGGCGCGCCTATGGCTACGACTACTTCGATGCTGGCCAGACCTCCGTCAGCACCCTCAAGCCGCAGTGGCACATCCTGAACCTGCTGATCACCCGGTCCGTCGTCCCCAACGCCACCGGTTCGCATAAGATCCCGTAGCGGGTGTTATACGCCATGTACTCGATGGGGGATCCGGCTCACATGCTTCACCTGGGCTCCTTCATGGCCCTCACTTTCCACCGGATCCGTGGGCATCCTACCCACCTCTTCTGTGGTCCCCTGATCACACGGTTGGCGAGGCATTTCGACATCAGCTTTCAGGGGCTTCACAATGCGACTGTGTTGGGTGGTTCCGCCCCCCTCAGCCGGGACGTGCTCCACAACGCGCGCCTCCTCGCCACTGATGACATCCGCACCTGGGTGGATGGGCTCTCTATGCCCCCCGCGGGGGTGATTGATCTCGACTCGGACGAGGAGGATGCGGACTACTCGGACGATGAGGAGGTGGATGAGGATGCTGACGATGATGATGACGGCGTGATGGATGCCGATGCACCGGAGCCCTCGCTCTCCCCTCCTGGGGATCTGCAGCCTCGACGGAGACCGGAGAGAGGCGAGTCCTCCTCTGGTCCTTCTGGTCCGTCGATGGACTTCTTCACGGAGCAGTTCCAGCAGATGGGCCTCCAGTTCCAGCAGCTGGGTCTTCAGAACCAGCAGCTCATGGACCATCAGGTCCAGTTTTACCAGCAGTATTCGGCCCACCAGGCCGAGTACCGGTCCCGGATGACGAGCGTGGATGAGCGCCTTGGCCGATTGGAGACCCACATGGGCCACACTACTGCTCTCATCGAGCGGGAGAGAGACCGCGGTCGCCGTCTGATGGAGTATTCCGAGCATCTACTCCAGACTTGCCACCCTCCAGCAGAGCACCACTGGACCACCAGGTGGGAGCATTCACCACCACGGCAGCCTCCGGATGATGGCGTCGACACCCTTATGGATCAGATTGATTTCTCCGGTCTCGGAGGGCCCTAGGGGCTTGTTTTGAGAGTTTTTATCTGTGTCAGCATGCAAACTGTCTGTTTTGTGTCGGTTTTTGTTTCTTTTCATTCTGGATTATGTACTATTGGGCTGACCGTTGGACCTAACGTATGTGTTTGAGCTTTTTGGTCTCTTTTAGCTCTGCCTGTGTTCCCGACTGGTCCTCTCTCCAGTCCATCCCATGCCGACTGGTCCATTTCCAGTCTTCTGCAGTCTGTGCACACCGGTAACATCGTTCCCCTTTCCTTCCCTCTTCTCCATTGAGGGCAATGTCGATCTTAAGTGTGGGGGGGATGTTTATCTTTTGACTGCATTAGCTCTGTTTGTGTGCTTGAGCCTAGTCCACTGTCCAAATCTTACGATTTGAGGGCTCCGAGTACTGCTGTTTGATCATATTGGCACTGTGTTTTGATGGATGAATTGATTGGTTTTCGGATTAATGCATGACAACTTGTTTGCGACTAGGACAACCTATGATGAGGACTGAGATGTGCAGTAGAACGATGTAGGGGTTCAGTTTTTCAACTGTTTGCTTGCCAACTGTGACTTGATCTGACTTGATCTGATTACTTATCCTTGACAGTCGTTTATGCATCTAGTTCAGGGTATCAGAATGTGAGATAGAGCATATAGGTAGCCATGTGAGATTTGAGCCTGCTCGTTTCTTTCTTGTGCGACAGATCCCTCTTCCATGATGTGTAGCATTCACGTTGTCACTAGCTAAGATGATGGGGGCATAGGATTAGCCCACGCCCAAAACTGACTGTCCTGATGTGTCATATCCCCTAGTCAGCCCTTTGAGCCGTGTGTTATCCTTTCTTTTGGTCTATAATGAAAAAATCACCCTTGTTGCATCTTTTAGAAGGTTCCACAGAGTGGTTTTATATATTCTCTGCTGTTTCTGCTAAAGTCTATGTGAGTGTTGGAGGTAGTGCTTAAAAATTGGGCAGGTGTTTGAAATTTATGCAGAAGTGGGGGCTCTCTTAAGAAATGAAAAGAAAAATGAAAGAAAAACAAAGAAAAATTGAAAGCAAAAGAGAGTCACTACCAAAAATCGGAGTAATGCCCAGTAAGCAGTGTTTCTTAGTAGTCTGGCTTGGAAATGCTGATGATTATGCCTCCTTCGCTCTTGTGCTCTTAAGATATTGAGGAATGCAGAATAGCAGAAAGAAAATACCGGGTTGGTTGACTGTGATTGTGTGTTTGGAAAATGTGGAACCTTTTTGCTATGAATACTTCCACCACCTAAAAGGCCTTTTCCCCATGTCCAAGACCCTAGCCAGTCATTTGAACCTGTGTCTAAGACCTCCTGATTAGTTAGTGGTGACACCCCATATGTGAACTCTAGCATTTAGAGGCTGCCATCATGGTGAAGAGATGATAGGGATTGAGAGAAATAGCATGCGCATCTTTCGCATCAAAAATTGTCCTGACCCCACTAGTCGAGAGTGAGTGATTCATTTCCATTTTCTATATGCTCTTGTACCCCGGTGAGGACCTAGATTGCTCGGTCTCTATTCTGATGTTTTGAGTTGGATGCATGAGTCGACTGTTTTGAGTAAGTGGTTGAATCAAGTCTAGGTTGGCTAGTGAACAGACGGGAGACTCTTCCTTTACTCGATTTGCTGCACTCGAATGTCCTTTGTGGTGGTTGTCCAGGTTGTTATTGAGGTTGTGCATGTATTGATGTTTGAAAACCAGTGCGATTCACGTGTTTTGTGCCTTTATGACTTGTCCCCAGTGTTGGTTGATTGATTTGTAAGCTTACCTAGTGTCTGACTTGGTTTTGCTTGGGGACAAGCAAACGGTTAAGTGTGGGGGAGTTTGATAGACCGATAATTATACATATTTTCACCCCTATTCTGGAGCCGTTTGTGCTGAGGAATCTCGTGTTTTAAGCCGATTTTACGCCAGGTTGTGTGTTTGTGTCATATTTCAGGTCCCGGCGTTGGAATCGAGGCGGAGAAACGAGTTCTGGGTCGAAAGGAGCCGAGTTGGGACTAAGGGGGCTGCAGGAGGAAAATACCCGGTCGGATGGCAAAATACCCGACCGGGTATTTATCGTTTTTGGCACCCGTGAGAAACAGAAGGGGGCCCGGGCGAAGGCCTTAAATCCCCGGTCGGGGATTTTGGTGGTAGACCGGGGATTTTCGCCTTTAGTGGAACGGTGCGTTTCACAATACCCGGTCGAACCATAAAATACCCGACCGGGTATTTTGACCGGGTATCGCGACCAGGCAGCTGATAAAAGAGGAAGAAGGCCAATTTTCAAAGGGTTCCGAGTTTTTGAGAGAGAAACCGATACCTAGAGAGAGAAAGCGTCGAACCAGAGTTCTCAAGCGCCATAGATCGATCTTCAACACCATTGGAGCCCGTCTTGAGCTTGGAGAAGTGCGATTAAACGTCCAGAAGCAGGAATCCAACTTCACAGTATGATTTCCGTGTCTGAATCTGCTTTTGCTTCTTTCTCTATGGAGTAGTTTCCCCATTCATCTGGGTATGGAGAACCCTAGATTTGTATGCTAGGTCTGATTGTATGAACCCAAGTACAGAGTTTGTGAATTGATTATATTCGATTGAGGTTTGTGATATGATCCCAAACCTCTCGAATTACAACCCTCAATGGATCGATCAAGAAACAGGATCAATCACGGATAAGGAGGGTGAATTTTGTCTAAGTCATTTTTATGTTGCAGGATACCATCTTTGGAAGCTTGCTACGCTCAAATGGCTCGAAGGAAATACAAGGCAAGAGTTTGGGGCTGGAATAGAGATGTTTCTCTACACAATGGAAGCTTTGGATAAGCCAGGAGAAGCCATTTTAATGATTTTCCAAAGCCTCCAAGTTGCTAGCCAGAAACTGGAATTTTGTTCAAAAATGGCTAAGTCTGGAACTGAGTTGGAGGTGACTACTTTAGGGCTTCATTCTGGACAGATGGGGGAGAACCATGGCCAGAGACGAGTACCCCATGAAACTACATTTCACAATCTACAACGTAAAGGCATTGGTTGAAGAATTGGAGTTCGTTTGATCCTTGAACAAGGCGGCCAAAGTAACTATGTTAAGCTGTTTTATTTCCTTGTAATGTAAGACTTGATTTCCTTGTGCCACAAGGATTAGTAGTAGTTATTGTTATAGTTGAACTAGGATTAGTGTTGATTCCTTTTAAGCGTAGGATGGTGGTTGTAATTGCCTATAAAAGGCTTGGAACGTGAAGGGGTGAGCAGAACATGTTGATTGAATGAATTTTATTCCAATTCCCAAACTTGAGAGTTTGTGAGTTTGATTGGTTTTTGGTTGCGATCAAAGACTTGCTGACTTTGCTTATCAATCGAGAATCGCCATCGATTGCATCGAAAGCTTCCTCATATCGAGTGTGCATCCTTCCAGGTGTAAGGGTTCCCGTTCGATTCCATCCGAAATTGAGTTTGTGAGAGCTTGACCAAGCTAGGGTCGAGTTCTGTGTTTAATCCGAGAGCATCATCTTGACCTAGCTAGCGTGCTGCGCGACTGTGATCCTTTGAGTCCCGAGTTTGGTCTCATCAAGTGGCATCTAGAGCCTGGTTCAACGCAGTGGACACAAGCACGGAGATAACGAAGGAGGGCGGCGCCGGAGCAAGTCACTGGACGAGGTCGAAGGGCCCTGTCACAGGTGATCCTGCCCTGCTGTTATCCGAACAGAAAAAGAAGAAGAAACAAGCAGCAGCAGTTGCATCAAAGAATCAAACCTCTAACCCGGCATCGACTTCTAATCAAGTGAAATCGACGATGGGAGAGGCCCAACCTGTTACGATGGCGGGGCTGCAACAATTCTTACAGGAGCAAGTCGTGGCCCTGTTGCAGAACCAGCTGGACAGGCAAGAAGAAAGGTTCGCAGACATCAATAATAAATTTGATGCTCTGACTCGCCAAGTCACAATGCTGCGACAGCCTGAGGAACCAATGGCGGCGACACCGCTCAGAACTCATACTGCTCACGAGCAGGGGTTCCCACCGCTGGCGAATCAAAGAATTCCGAGGAGGAATGGCACCGAGGCCGACAATCAAGCTCTGGCCGAACGCGTTATAGAGCTAGAACGACAACTGATGACCCTGGACGTCAACCAACGACCACCACACCATCAACGAGCAGGAGTGTTGCGAGCTGAACAAGGAACAGAGGAGGTGCCCGTATCGGAATTGAGGGGAATTAAACTCTCGATTCCAGCCTTTCAAGGAACAATCAACGCTGCTGCATATCTGGATTGGGAGAGGAAGATTACCTTGTTTTTTTCAGTGTGGCAACTACAGCGATTCGCAGAAGATCACATTAGCGACGTATGAATTCACTGATTATGCTGCGACGTGGTGGGAGAAGGTTCAGTTGAGAAGAAGAAGGAACTTGCAGGCTCCTGTGGCGACATGGGAAGAGTTAAGGGGATTGATGAGAGAGCGTTTTGTTCCTGCATATTATCAACGCGAGTTATACGAGTCGTTGCAAGCAATTCGGCAGGGGTCGAGGTCCGTTGATGACTATTACAAAGAACTGGAGCTGTTAATGGTGAGAGCGGATGTTAGAGAGGATCAGGAGGCGACGATTTCACGCTTTCTTCATGGCCTCAACAGGGAAGTTCGAAATGAGGTGGAGCTACGTCAATTCGTGGATTTGGAAGAAGTGGTTCACCTTGCTATCAAGGTTGAACGGCAATTGAAGGCTGGATCAGGACGGCGGTTTCAGAACACAACTCCTCGGCAGAGTGCTTCCGTTGAAACAATTCCTCAAGTGGAAGCTGCTCCAACTCGACCAGTCATGGCACGTTCCGCAGGACAGAGTAGTGCGTCGGGAGTACAGGAGAGAGTTGGAGGCTCGACCAGCCGATTGGAGTGCTTCAAGTGCCACGGTCGTGGTCACAAATCGTTTCAGTGCCCAAACACGAAGACACTGGTTCTTCGCGACGGGGAATACTACTCCGAGTCTGAAGTTGAAGATAACAAGATCAATGATGACTCCACCGATGAGGAAGTAGATGAAGAGATCATTGCTGATCCCGATCCAGGCAAATTTACAATGGTGAACAGGCGTGCTTTGACGATTGATGCTGCAAGCGAAACCCAGCAGCGAAGTAATCTGTTTCACACACGCTGTCGAAGTCAAGGAAATCTGCTCTCGCTGGTAATCGACGGTGGTAGCTGTACCAACGTTGTAAGCCTGGAAACAGTAAGGAAACTTGGGCTTAACACAATCAAGCATCAGGAGCCTTATAGTCTTCATTGGCTGAATGATCATGGAGCAGTACGAGTGACAAAACAAGCTTGGGTTGATGTTGAGCTCGGACATTACAAGGATCGAATTTTGTGCGATGTTGCGCCGATGCAGGTGGCTCATCTGCTTCTTGGACGACCTTGGCAATTTGATCGTGGAGTAACTCACCATGGCCGCACCAATTGCTACACTTTTGAACATGGCGGGAAGAAGCTCAAGCTCACGCCGTTGTCACCGGCGGAAGTCCGAGATGACCAACGTCAGCTGGCGGCTAATCGAGCGCAGGGAGAAGGCGGGTCGCGAAAGGAAGGCAGTCTCCTCGTTCGACGGTATGCGCTCACCGCCTTGCTGCGCCCTAGGGGGTTTCGAAGCCGATCGGCTCGGCCACTCTGTTACTCGCCGACGGCAGTGCAGGGGAAGAGAGAGAGTGAATTGGGGGGAAGAGTTGGGGGCAGTCCAGGCCGAGCCAAAGACGTCGCCACATTCGTCAAAGTCCCAGGAACGTGTAGCCCAGGTCAATTGGGGCCGAATCTCTTCGTATCAAAAAGCCCCAATTCGAAACTATCGGGCCAAATGGTGAAGAACAACGACGGCGAGAAGTGTGCATTGGACGGGGAGTTTGGGAGTGATTCGACGCCATTGGCGACTGTGGGAAAGCTCAGAATCGTCCAACGAAGCTTGCGGGTCGATCAATTGGACGGGGGGAAGCCGGACGCGAAAATACCCAATTTCAATTTGGGGTCGCCGGAATCTGGAATTCACTCGCCGGATTCTGGGAATTTTAAATTTCCCGACGGCGGGAAATGTTTGGGTGTCCATTGGGGACGAATCGGGAATAATCAAGGCACGGGAATGGGTCGAATCGATTCCTGGAAGCAAGGCGAACCTTTAGGAAGCAACGATTTGGGACGAGAAGGCGCCGAAGAGAAATTCCCAATTTTGGAATCCTTACCGGAAGTTTCGCCGTCGCCGGAAACTGCAAATTTTCCGGTCAGATTTTTGTTTGAGCAGCCTTTTTTGGATCCAGTTTGGGATCAATTCTGCAGGGTCTTTTGAGGAGAAGAAGGCCCAAGCTTTGAGGACAAAGCTTTTTCAACAGGGGGGGCTTGATATGATCCCAAACCTCTCGAATTACAACCCTCAATGGATCGATCAAGAAACAGGATCAATCACGGATAAGGAGGGTGAATTTTGTCTAAGTCATTTTTATGTTGCAGGATACCATCTTTGGAAGCTTGCTACGCTCAAATGGCTCGAAGGAAATACAAGGCAAGAGTTTGGGGCTGGAATAGAGATGTTTCTCTACACAATGGAAGCTTTGGATAAGCCAGGAGAAGCCATTTTAATGATTTTCCAAAGCCTCCAAGTTGCTAGCCAGAAACTGGAATTTTGTTCAAAAATGGCTAAGTCTGGAACTGAGTTGGAGGTGACTACTTTAGGGCTTCATTCTGGACAGATGGGGGAGAACCATGGCCAGAGACGAGTACCCCATGAAACTACATTTCACAATCTACAACGTAAAGGCATTGGTTGAAGAATTTGGAGTTCGTTTGATCCTTGAACAAGGCGGCCAAAGTAACTATGTTAAGCTGTTTTATTTCCTTGTAATGTAAGACTTGATTTCCTTGTGCCACAAGGATTAGTAGTAGTTATTGTTATAGTTGAACTAGGATTAGTGTTGATTCCTTTTAAGCGTAGGATGGTGGTTGTAATTGCCTATAAAAGGCTTGGAACGTGAAGGGGTGAGCAGAACATGTGATTGAATGAATTTTATTCCAATTCCCAAACTTGAGAGTTTGTGAGTTTGATTGGTTTTTGGTTGCGATCAAAGACTTGCTGACTTTGCTTATCAATCGAGAATCGCCATCGATTGCATCGAAAGCTTCCCTCATATCGAGTGTGCATCCTTCCAGGTGTAAGGGTTCCCGTTCGATTCCATCCGAAATTGAGTTTGTGAGAGCTTGACCAAGCTAGGGTCGAGTTCTGTGTTTAATCCGAGAGCATCATCTTGACCTAGCTAGCGTGCTGCGCGACTGTGATCCTTTGAGTCCCGAGTTTGGTCTCATCAGTTTGAATGATTGAATGACTTGAATCCTGATCAAATTCTGTTGTTTCTGCTTTGACCTGGAATGAGAATATCTGCCTAGGTTGATAGAGTACCCTTAATCGAAGGTGGCGAATTGGTGACTTTAGTCGAGGGGCCAATTCGCTATTCTGTACCGAAGTCAATTCGGTAGTGGAGGTTTGGTTCATTAGGGCCTCAATCTGTTTACTCCGGTGGAGGTTAGGCGCCCGCTAGAGACTCAGATTGAGAGGGTCTGGAGACCTTTAGTCGAGACTTCAGGCTAATTGAGAACCTTCCGCAGTATAACTTTCATGAAAACTGAACTTGGTAATTACAATCCGACTTAACTGCAGTCTAGGGGGAACCATATCCGGGTGACCTCTCTTGACTTGACAACAAACCGTTTACTTGCTCTGTGTTTGTTTGCTTGAGTTTCACTAAAAGTTCACTGCTAAATAACAAGAATTCACCTAGTAGTCATCACATCTAGGACCCGGGTTGACATTAAACCCGACCCGCTATACTACGCTTTAGGAATTGGTTATACTTGGCCATTTTCTAGGGTGACCAGTAGGAGTGAGTCACCGTGTGACTTGGGCCGTGTGGCACCAAATTGCACGGGCAAAGTCACACGGGCCGTGTAGAGGACCCCTTGTGGCCGTGTGAAGGCTCGGTAAAATCCCACACGGGCATCCTGGAACTCCACACGGCCGTGTGGGTCGTGGCCGCGTAGGAAAGGCCGAGCCATTTATCAAAACGCCGCGGTTTGCAAAAAGTCACACGGGCAGCTGGGGAATGTCATACGGCAGTGTGGGCCTGGCCGTGTGATCGGGAATTTCTGTTTAAAACCCGATTTTCAGCAAAAGGAAAGGAGAGAGCTGGGTTTTTGGTTCCCAAACACCCAAGGGACGAACCCTAGAGAGAGAGAGCGACTTGGGAACATTCTTGGAGCTATTTTGGAGGATTTTTTTTGTCATTGGAGCCCGGGAATCAAGCTTGTAGATGGAGATTGAAGATCTAGATCAGATTTCTGCAGTCTCTCTCTTCTCTATGGAGTAACTTCCCTTTACTTAGGTTTTGAGGAACACTAGTTCCATGTGTTAGGATCTTTCTTGTATGAAGTTTTGGATGCTATATTGTTTGATTATAATCGAATGATGCATGATTCATTGAATTGCTGTAAGTTTGATCAGCTTTTCTTGATTTTTGCTGCAACCTGAGATAGATAGAATCTGATTAGGTTGTTAGAGCTTCATCATTTGGTAGTACTAGATTGGTTATACGAGAGTTAGTCAATCTACTGCTTTGTACTGGAATTCATTCCAGTAGTGGAGATCTGTGTGAATCGCCTTAGCAGTCTATCCCGGTGAAGGCTAGTCGCCTGCCGAGTATTCTGTCTGAGAGGGCTTGGTCAGCTTAAGAGATTCCAAGCTAATTTAGGATCTTCCGCAGTTTAATCACAGTAGATCAACCAAAGATAATTGCAACTTGGACCAAATTGAGGAGCTAGGGGGAATCATAACCTAAGTGAATTCCCAAACTTGTAATTAGTAGAGTATGTCAGTAGAGTAGTTTATAATCGATCCTTAATCTAGTTTGCTAGATAATGAACTGAAGCTGAGTAATAGTAACTCTAGAGACCCGTGGATTCGATATTTATTACTTGTGCCACTATACTTTTTTTTTGTAAGAAGACAGACGCTAAGGGCGTCTCATTCATTCATTCATTAACAACCCGATTCATGGTGATTCCCATGATATCATAATTGATCCAGTACAAAAGTTCGGGTCTCTCACATCGATGAGATGTGAGCCAAAGAAACATCGTGACCCTTTTTTCGCAGGAAAATCAGCGGCATAATTTCCTTCCCTATAAACATGGGAGATACATACATCCCAATCATAGTTCAAAAGACGCCCAATCTGTTGTGCAATGAGCCCATGTCTGTGATCATCGTCGTTCCAGTTTCTGATAATCTCGATTGCTGTTGAGGAATCAAGCTTCAAGTCCACTTGTCTGTACCCTCTTTCCCACGCAATCTTCAATCCAATTTCTGCAGCCTTGAGCTCTGCACTTGTGCCACTATACTGCAGTCCCTTTCATTGGTTACACTTGGCCATTGTTAGGTGTTGTGTTTTAGCGTGTCACTCGGAAGTCTACACACATCCGCCAGGTGTGATCCTTCTTCGCACGAGAATCACCAGAACTGCACACGGGCTTAAACTTTCTCGAACATTCCCCTTCTCCATGAGCTCGTCAATCTTCCTTTGCAGTTCTTTGGTCTCTTCCAGATTAGCTCGATATGCTGCCTTGTTTGGAATTTGAGCTCACGGCACGAATCAATATGTTGCTCAATTTCGCGAATAGGAGGCAGCCCCTTCGGTGCTTCCACTAGAAACACGTCCTCGAACTCTTCCAACACCACTCTTGCTTCGGCTGGAACTTCTTGGACTAGCCCTTGATTGAGTAGCACGTCCCTGTACTTGAGCACAATCAAAGGTTCGCGTGCATAGGCAGCTTGCTTCAAATCTCCACTTCGTGCTAGCATCACTGCCTTCGAATCCACAATTCAAACTCCTTCTTCTCCTTTCTTGGTCGAGGCATTACTCGCCTTTTCTTGCACTCGATGTTGCTGCATTTGGAGTTGATCTCGATATACTTCACTTGGATACAGAGGCTTCAACACGAACTTATGTCCTCCATGTTGCAACTTGTACTCATTTGTCACTCCATCTTGCTGTGCTTGTCGATCAAACTGCCACGACCTGCCAAAAAGCACATGCGCAGCTTGCATAGGCACTTCATCAAAAAATCTCATCTTTGTAATCTCCAATCTCGAACTTCATTAGTGCATGCTTTGTGACTTTGATGGATCCGTGATCGTTAAGCCATTGCAGCGTGTATGGCTTTGGATGCTTCAACGTAGGAAACCCTAGCCTCTTCACCGCACACGCACTCACAACGATCGTGCAACTTCCTCCATCGATCACCAGAGACAACAAATTTCCATCAACTACACATCTCGTATGGAAGATATTTTCTCGCTGTTCACTCTCCTCCATAGGATGCTCAGTCAATACCCTCCGTGCTACAAACAAGCTGCCTGTAGGTGGTTCCATTTCCATAGACTCATCAACATCAGAATCGGTGGTCTCTCCCTCTTCCTCAGATACATACTCGCCATTATCAAGCAAGATCAGGTCTTCTTATTGGCACACTGGCTCGCAATGTGTCCTCTTCCATGGCATTTGAAATAATGAATTTGTCCCGATGATCCACCTTGCTTCAGAACTGGATTTGCACCATCAGTCCTTGCCGCGGGTCTAGGAGCTTCTTTCACGGCCAGTTGCGCTTAGGATTGGTTACAACTCCTTGGCTCGAACGTGTGGAATTCGAGGAGGGTTGAAACCTCCTATTTCGAAGCTGCCGTTCCACTTTACTCGCCATATCCACCAAATCTTCAAGTTCAAGGAACGGTTGTATCTCCACAACGTTCTTGATCTCTCGATTGAGACCATACAGAAAACGAGCTATGGTAGCCTCGTCGTCCTCTCTCCATCAGCACGTATCATCAATACTTCCATCTCCTTGTGATAATCTTCAACGCTTCTAGTTCCTTACCATAGAAGCTGGAGGTTTTGATACATATCTCGCAAATGGGAACTCGGTACAAACCGATCCCTCATAATTCCTTTCATCTCATCCCACGTCTCAATAGGACGCTGCATGTTTCTCCTTCTTCTCGTTCCCAACTGATCCCACCAAACAAGTGCATAATCCAAGAACTCTAGGGCAGCCAATGTCACTTTCTTCTTATCGGAGTAATTATGACAATCAAATACTAGTTCCATCTTTCGCTTCCAATCCAATAAGCATCAGGGTTCGTGGTACCGCGAAAAGGTGGAATCGTGACCTTGAGGTTTCGCAAATCATCATCATCCTCAAACCCTTTTCTTCCTCATCATTAAACTCCTCAAAATTTTCCTCTTCATGATGCTGCTGCCGCCCTCTCCTTTCAGCTCGAGGTATACCCAGTCGTCTAAGCTAATGCATATGACGTTGCAATTCGTGAACCAAAGGTGGAGGAGCCCGATTTTCCCTTCCCCTTTATTCTGGTGGAGGTCTAGGTTAGGGTTTGCGTTGACCACAACCGGCTGCTGGAGCCTTGTCTCGACCGCCTCCATCCTCGTGGCTTGCTCGGCAAGCCTTGCTGTTTGCTCTTCTTGAGCACGAGCAATGTTCTCCAATTGATTTTGATCGCTTCAAGTGTTGCTTCCATGTTTGCGATGCAAGAAAACTCCAAGAACACAAGAAACTTCAAGAACTCGCACAACCTGCTTCTTGCCTCACAAGAAACACCAAGAACTCCCAAGAACAAACAACCTCCTGTCTTGCGGCTCAAGAACACACCAAGACCTTCAAGAACACGAACAAAATATCCAAGAACGCACAAGAACACAGATAATCTTCACAAACACGCCACTGATTTGAACCTTAGCTCTGATACCACTTGATATAATCAAAGTAGCGCAGGGTCAAACTTCTCGAACCAAACAGAACCGCATAGGTGGAATTGATCGGACAATACTCACTCATGAATAAGGGCAATCGATATGAGATCGATCGATAGATTCAACCTGGAATAGAGGGCAATCAATATAACGGTAGCTCGCCACAACCAGGGTGAATACCTAGCTGATAAGAGTTTGCTCTAACTCTGGGGATACTCGACTGAGAATTAGAACTGAGTTCCTCAAAGGAAACACGACAAAAGCCTTTAGGGTTTATTCTCAAAATTGCCTAACCCTTAAACAGATGGTTCGACCTTTTTAAATAGGCAAAGTACAACCCAAATTTGACTCCAACATGGAAAAACAATCATAAACCGACTTTAAAACAAGGAAACCCGAAAATAGCCCAACAAACCCGTTAAGCCCCACCCGTTAAGTCTGGACCCGTTAAGCAAACTCGTTAAGGCTCCTTCTTGCAATCTGCCTTCTCTCCAACACTTCCTCCTTCTTCCTTCACTCTAATCATCATATGGCTTCCCTCGAAACAGCTCCACGTCCATGGCTCCAGAGTAGCTCTCCAAATACATTGCAAGTTTCTCCTTCAACGTTCTTGCCTTGCACGTGTGATTGGCCCATTGATGTCCTCATCATGCTCCACGGTGGCAGAATTGGGGTCGACGATCGATTTACAGACCAGAGTTGGGCTCAAAGGCGACAGAGAGCGGTTAACGACCGATTTCCAGACCAGAGTTGGTGCTAGCGGGCAGATTTGTTGGGTTTGCTTTGTTGGGTTTCATCGAATTTTGGCATCGATCTGATGGCTTTTGTTTTGTTTGTGTTTGTTGGCGTGAATCTTTGTTGGTGAGCATGAAGATGGAGGAAGAGAGGGAGAAACAGAAGGCAGAGGAGGCGGAGGAGAAGGTTGAGAGAGGTGGAGAAGGGTCAAGATGATCTGGCCGGGGCAGGTTAGGGTTTGTATTGTTTGGATAGACTGAGGTGGCGTGTTATAACGGTGTGGCGGTCAGGTTTAGTAGTTTTTGGGTTAAATCTGGCTGACGAGACAATTCCGTTTGCCACGTCAGCACTTAACGGACTCCATTAACAGAGTTGGATGGAGACTAACGGAGAGTGACCAAAACTTGGACCGTTAAACTAATCTTAATGACCAAAATTGATATTAATTTTTTTCAGTGACTAAACATGACATTTTAATAAACTCAATTACCAAACTTGACTTTTACCCACTTTTTATGATAAAAGTGATTTGAGTAAATATTAAAAAGTGGAGGCATGTTTTTGTAATTTGAAAAACACAAATTACTGAACCCAAATTTAAAGTAAAAGCCGGTGGGTGCGCGAATGGCAACCTTATAAATCCATATAGATAGTTGATATTAGGCAACAATTTATTCGTATGATCTAACAACCCATACTCAGTTAACTGTGCGGTCATCTCTTATCATAAAAGTATTCACACACTGAAATTAACATGATTTTGATACTCCTTCCAAACCATCACATGAAATAGAAGAAGTATGGACCTAATTGTTCCGTCCAATAACAACTTGAACTTCCAAAAGATAGTAAACTTTTCCCAGTCATCAACTTCCACAAAATTGCAAGGATAACAAGGCAATGGAGCAAGGTGGGTACTTTAATATCTATGTTAGGGCCGCAAATGAGCCAAGCCGCTCGCGAGCAACTCGACGTTCGAATCGGAAAAAACTCGTTTGACACTCAACTCGTTATTTAACAAGCTGGCTCGCGAGCCAACTCGTTAGTTAACAAGCCAAGCTTGAGCTAGACCATGCTCAACTTGATAAACTCGCGAGCTAGCTTGATTCAGTGGTTTGTTGAGCTAAGCTCGCGAGCTGCCTTGTTTAGAGCTTGTGAAAGGATGAATTACTCTTTTAAACATGAACATTGTCTTGTTAATACAAATATGTATGTAAATTTAGATGTTATTTATAGTTTCTAGTGTTCTTTCTATCATTTAAATTCTTATGTTTACACATTTTTCCAGCAAGAATGATTTTAGATCGAGCTCATCTTGAGCCGAGCTTGTACTCAGCTCAACAAGCTATGTTAATGAGCATTTATCGAGCTCTACCGAGTCGAGCTCGAGCTAGATGATTTTTATTCAAGCCGAGCTCGAGCTCGAGCTGGATTATTAAAATTCGAGTTCGAGCCGAACTCGAACTAAAAATTAATAAATGAGCCGAACTCAATCTAAACAAAAACTCGATTCGACTCGACTTGTTTGCAGCCCTATCTATGCCCAGCCCATTCTTAACACCGAATCAGAATGGATAGTATTCATTCATGAACGTTGGCCGAGACAGATTGAAGTTATATTTCCGAGTTATTGTCATGAGAGAACACAAGTGACCAAAACAACCTGCTCTTCGCACTCCAAATAACACAGCAGTTTATCCATCACCATCTATTACGAATTTATGAGCATGATTACACTTATCCCACGTAATTATTACTCAGCATATACCCTACATACCCTGTGAAATCCAAGCTAAGTCCAAAGCATTTTCAAACCATTATATGACAAAAACAAAAGTAGTTATGGAAGCATGTTAGTAAGTTGAATAACGTTAAGACTTCAGCCAGCCATGCATGGAACATTTATGTGTGGAAGTAATCCTCATAGCAGAAAACCCCAGTTTCCAAATTCCCCACCTCTCAAACCAGATAATAAACCAGTGAATAATGCCAGCACTTTCTAACGTACAAGATAACGATTTGCCATATGTACTCATTACTGCTTCCTTAACTATTATCATAACAGAAATTACACAGACAGTGCCTGCCACCTGCTGGTTTGTCTTTTACATAAGGAATGTCTCACTGATGCATCTTGCAGACAGTTACCCAAATAGAGATGGTTTTTACCTTTGTTTCAAAACCCAAACCCTCTTCAGTAACGAGTTAAAAGGGCCAAAAATCTTTTGACTGGCTTTGTCACTATATATTGATGATCAAGGTTCAAGTTCCAGTATCAGGAAGCAGCCTAAAGTTAAACCAACTTAGTCACTAAAAGAAAAACAAGTACAAATGAAAACCCTTTTCCTCATCTTCCTCACTTTAACTTCCACATTCTTCTTCTCCTCCTCCTCTCAGGAAGCGTCGGCTTCTGGAGAAACCGACTTGGAAACCTACATTGTCTCTGTTGAGAAACCAGCAGGCCTACTAGAATCCAATCTACATGACTGGTACACCACATTCCTCCCAGAGGCTACTACAAGCCTAAGCTCGAACCAACAACGAATCGTCCACTCCTACCGTAATGTGATCACAGGCTTTGCGGCTAGGCTCACACCACAGGAAGCCAAAGCAATGGAACAGAAGGAAGGCTTCATCTCGGCCCGAGTCCAACGATCTTTCCCACTACACACAACCTTCACTCCCAAGTTTCTCGGCCTGCCACAGAATATTCTACGAGCTGGGAACGCCTCAAATTATGGAGAGGGAGTGATCATTGGGATGATTGATTCGGGGATAAAGTATGATCACCCTTCTTTCTCCGACAAAGGCATGCCTCCCCCGCCTGCCAGATGGAGAGGCAGGTGTGACTTCAACGGCAAGCAACATGTAACAACAAGCTCATTGGTGCTCGAAGCTTCGTCTCTACTGCTCGAGGTATCGATCTCCCGTGGGAAGAAGCCTACCATGGGAGTCATACTTCAGGGATAGCTGCAGGGTGCCCTGTAGAAGGTGCCAACGTGTTTGGACAAGCGAATGGGACAGCCACGGGATCGCGCCTAGAGCCCATGTGGCAATGTACAAGGCCTGTGCAGTGTCCTGCTATGATGGTGACTTATTGGCAGCAATCGATGCTGCTATTGATGATGGCGTTGATCTGCTGTCAATCTCCATTGGACCTGAATCTCCTTTTCCATTCTACTACGACGTGATTGCATTGGGTGCATTTAGAGCCATTCAAAAGGGTATCTTTGTGAGCTGCTCAGCTGGAAATGATGGACCTTATCCGAGTACAGTAACCAACGATGCGCCATGGATTCTAACCGTCGGAGCGAGCACGATCGATAGGGAGATCAGAGCTACGGTGAAGTTGGGGAACAATGTGGAGCTCCATGGCCAATCCCTCTTCCAGCCTAAAGACTTCCATCCACGGCAGCCACTCCCAATCGTCCATCCTGCTGCAATTAGCAATAATGAATCAGCAGCAGTTTGTGAGAAAGGGTCACTGAAGAACATTGATGTTAAAGGCAAGATAGTCATATGCCACATGGGACAATTGAGAATCGAGGATAAGGGTAAAGAAGTGAAGGACAATGGTGGCGCAGCCATGATCGTGTTCAACGAGCAGGATGATGGATACACTACTCTTGCTACAGCCAACGTCCTTCCCGCATCACACATCAGTTACAAGGATGGATTGGTACTAAAAAATTACTTGATATCCACGCAATCTCCCACTGCAACAATCTCATTCCAAGGTACCTTGATTGGCAAGTCACAACCTGCTCCACAAATGGCCTCCTTCTCTTCCCGAGGTCCTAGCACGCAATCTCGGGGGATCCTGAAGCCCGACATAGTTGGCCCCGGGCTCAACATTCTGTCTGCTTGGGGAGTCTCAATCGACGAAGCTACGAACCCATTCAATGTGATCTCAGGAACTTCAATGTCATGCCCACATTTGAGTGGAGTTGCAGCTCTGATCAAGAGTGCTCATCCAGATTGGTCCCCTGCAGCTATCAAGTCGGCCATTTTGACCACTGCCTACACCGCTGATCTCAATGGCAACCCGATCTCCACCGAGCAGAATGTTTCTGCCACAGTGTTCGACAGGGGTTCGGGTCATGTCCACACATTGAGGGCATTGAACCCTGGTCTGGTTTATGATATCGAGCCGGATGATTACATTCCTTACCTCTGTGGGTTGGGTTACAGCGAGCAGCAGGTGAGATATATCGTGCAGAGAAAGGTGAATTGCTCGACTCCAACTTTGATACCGGGGGCTCAGCTGAACTACCCAACATTTTCGATGGTATTGGGTGCCGGTGATCAGATGACTTACACTCGAACTGTTACTAATGTGGGTCGGCCTTTCTCGACGTACATCAGTAAGGTTTTGTCGCCTCAAGGGGTTGCTGTCAAAGTCATGCCTAGTGTGATCAGGTTCAAAGATCTCAACGACAAAGCGAGCTACACTGTGACATTTACCAGGTTGGAGAATGTGACGAGAAGCAGTATCATTGGCCAAGGTTCCTTGGTCTGGAACTCCATTGGTGATGATGGATACAAGGTCGTGAGTACTATTGCTGTCGTCTTTGTTTGATCCAAGAGTTTATGGGAGTGAGCCACTTAAATAAAGGATGTCCGTAAGAGAGTGGAAGTTCATATTAATTACCTCTATTTGTTGTTGTTGTAATCGGTTTTAATGTTGTAGTTTCCATGTCTGGAACTGCTGTACAATGTAGCTTTACTACTGTATGGCTCCATCGTTATCCCATTCTTAATGAATCAATCGTTTGTGATTATTAATCAGTCATTGCTAGAACCTTTCAGCTGTGAAATCGATCCTTATTGGAACCGTTAATTAATATATAAAGCCTAGGTTTGAGTTACTATTCATTAGTGGCTCTCACACTCCCCAAGTGCAAGTGGGAAAATTCAAAGTCTTTCTTTTACCCCACTCTCCATAGGAAACGGTGGTGGGTAACAACTTAGGATCCCGCCAAAAGTATTTCGAGATGAGCTGCAAAATGGTGGCAAAGCGATGATTTGTGCAAAAGCCATAGACAAAAACCTAACGAACAACAACTAAACACAAAGTCATGATTTGTGCAAAAAGCCATAGCCGAAAACATAGCGAACAATAACAAAACATAAAGGCGATGATTTGTGCAAAAAACCATAGACGAAAATCTAGCGAACAATAACTAAACACATAGACGAAAAATCTAGCGAACAATAACGAAAATCTAGCGAAAGACTTTGAATTTTCCATAGGCGATGATTTGCCCACCATTTTACAGTCCATCTCGAAATACTGTCGGCGGAATCCTAAGTTGTTCCCCACCATCGCTTCCCAAGGCCGCTACCACGTTTTGTATCGGGACCGAGTTTTTATCCTCTTTAGTGTTTTTTTTTCTTTCTCTTTTTCTTTTTGTTGAGCATGATCACAATTGAACCCAATGTCGCTACCGAAATCAATATCATATCTACTCAATGTTGGCGAGTTTTGTATCAGGACCGAGTTTTCGTTCGCTTTAGTGTTTTTCATTCATTTTTACCTTTTTGTTGAGCATGATCACAATTGAACCCAAATCCATGGGTATCCAACCTAATTCGTTCCGGTCAAAGCGAC